CTGTCTTTGCCTGAACACGAAATTAACCCGGAGTATGAATGTACCGGACTGGATTCACAGCTTTTACACATCCACAAGTCAGTGCGTTATGTTCGGGGGAAGAGAGTAGGGATGGAAAATTAGACAGGAAAGCCCCACTGCCACAGCTGGTCCGAGTAAGAATAGTGGGGGATGAGGGATGAGGATAAGGGGTTGTTTGCATACGAAATTAACATTCCAGTGATTCCACTCTGTTCTCTCCCTTCGACCCTGAGGGAGTGTGTGGTAATGGGAAGGAGAAAATCCTCCACCGACACAGATGTTCAAGGTGAAAGCCAACTAAGACTGTGTCATGAGACAGTTCAGACTAGGAATATAACAGCCAACTGATGAGTCAGGAACCGCCCTCTGAGGAAGGACTTGGAAGATGTCTCCAACTCCTCGGGTTCGTACTTTGCTCAATGTGGACCTGACAAAGAGCTCTGCAATGTGACAAATCTTGTAAAAATGCCTCCCAACACTGGACTCGATAGAAGTCCTGGACTCGATAGAAGTCCTACAATCAGACCTGGAACGAACAGGACAACTGTCTCCTATACGCTCCCATTATAGGACTACCTCCCGGTGCAACAGAGCACTCTCAGAACAGAGTCTTTTCGACTACCCCACGCCAATGAAGGTGTGGAGACGGTGGGATGCAGCCAAGCTGCACCTGCTGGGACATGACTTCCCGGCGACAGAGGCCCCTTACTACTGGGATAAAAAATAACATGGCCCTCCTCATCGAATAGTCCCTTTGATAGCTAAAAAAATTGCGCAAATGCATCAGACTCGAATTCAAGTCTGATCCTCTCGACCAACTCTTTCTGTTCTGCAAGCATATTCTCAGTCACATGTACACAACCTGTTTGTGATGACGACCCTTTGGTCACTCCTCCGAAAGGTGGCTCACTTGTTTACAGAGACACCCGTGATTTCTGGCTCACCTCTCTCTATCTTTGTTGTGACTGGGCCACCAGTTACCCTGCCTTCTGCTTCAAGCCTACACACCCTAGATACACAGCTGAGTAGCATCACTGAGGGTTTATCTCAGGTGCAGTCACAACAAACTAGCGTATCTATCAACAAACTAGACATCTGAGGGTTTATGGTTGAATCAAGGTCCTCCGTCTTTCACAAATTGCCATATCTATCGCATTTTACCGGCTAAAGGTTGACAGGTAACTTGAAGGATCATTTTGTGCTTACCATCTCTTCAACTTCGTAACGTCGAGGCCCTCTTAGCATAGCTCTACCATGACTTTGATTACTTACATTACTGCTCCCCCTCCCCCACTGAATTTCCTCTCGTTATAAGTTATAACCATGGCTACGATCCGGACGTCCGGACTGCCGTCCAGACGGTCCGGATTCAGTCCGGACTCCAGACGTCCGGTCTGGAAGGTCCGGATCTGCCAAATTTAGAGGGAAAAAAAAAAAAAAAAAACGGTCCAGGACCCTTCCCCATTGAGGAGACAAGCCCCCAAAATTGTTTTGGGTTTTTTTCAGGCCCGTTTATGCTTTTTTGAGGAGTCCGGACATGCTCTCTCTATATAATAATTTATTAGACAACCCCAATTCTTTAATTATTAATAATTAATTACCTTTTATTAGTTTTTGAAGTTTTTTTTAAACTTTTTTTAAGCTTTTTTATCGTTTTTGACTTTTAACTCAAGTTTGGTTTGGAATTCTGACATGACTCCGAGGCAAAAGTGGTTTGCATTGCTATTCTGCATAACATACTTTTTTTTCAGATTTTTTTTTTNTTTTTTTTAACGGTCCGGACATTTCCGGACCTGTCCAGGCATCCGGACCGTCCGGATGCCCAATGTCCGGAGGTCCGAAAATGTCCGGAATTCCGGACGTCCGGAAACTACCGGACACAGGTCCGGTTCCATGTCCGGAAATGTCCGGGTCCGAGTCCGGCGTAGCCATGGTTATAACCCCTAGGATACTACAATAACTTAAGACAGGGCCCTCCTTTCTCGGGGGTCATTCCAGGGGTGAACTGTTTTTTTTTTTTTTTTTTTTTTTTTTTCCCACTTCTGCTCTTCATTGCAACTCCATGATTGCTTCACTTTTTCATTTCTTCCAGGGGTGAACTGTACCAGAGCATTGGTGCAAGAGAAAAGCTATACCAGGCATTCATCACGCTGACACAGGACTGGGCAGTCATTGAAGCTGAGGAGATATTAGCAGTGCTACCGTCTTCCCCCGAACACAACGCACCCTTATTTCGGCTGTATGTGGCCTGAAATATAGCTTGTATACATTCATTTTTAGGGTGCGTTATGTTCGGGGGAAGACGGTAGTGCCAAGCACTGTGACGAAACGCTGCACCTCCCCTTTCTCCCACGCCCAGCCTGTATTAGGGTGTTTAATAGTCAAATAGTCGACACATTGTTGTTGCGTTGCGCACCCAATACGCACCCAACAATACTGGCGAAGGTCCCATTTGGAACCCCCATCCGGAGGGTTGGTACGAGACCACGGGCATGACCTGCCCTCCAACACTTTGACCAACTAGCAGCTCCCACTTGCTCCTTTGCCTGAAAATTTTGATTCAGTACCGAACATTTGTTAGCTTCAGCATTCAGGATTCTTCAGAGTGATATTCATTACGCCTGGAAACTTCCAGAGGTACTCTACCGATTGGCTAGTTTTCTCGTCTATATACTATCACAATGATCTATGAGAGTATGAGGAGTTCAAATCCCAATTGCTCCTCCGTCTGTTGGCTTGGACATTACCACATCGGTATACTCTCACACTGATTAGTGTGAGCCTGTCTGTTTTCACTGTTTTTTCACAGCTATAATATTCTATATATACAATCACAGTGATCTCTGAGAATCAGATGAGTTCAAATCCCTCTTGGAGAAAGCCACTAGCAAGTGTCGCCTCCTCTTTCTCTTCTCTTCACCAGGGATGAAAGGAACAATATAGTCCTGGTCAGAATGCACCAGCGGTGATCTAGCCTGTTGAGAATGCACCAGCGCTGATCCCCGCACTGGTTGAGTATGACGACAGGCACCTCCCGAGGCCTAGCATCCACCCTCTACTACAACATGGACCTTAAAAAGACAAAAAAAAAACAAAAAAGGAATGCACCAGCGCAGCCCATGTCTGGGAACACATCATGCACACAGTCATGTGACATCAAGGTCCTCCCTGACCAGGATAAGTCTTCGGAATTCCAAACCTTAGCAGGCTATTTGATAAATACTAAATAGTATTTATCCAGTATCCCTCCCCCTTTTTTTTTCTTTTTTTTTATACAGAAAACAGAGCCTGGCGGGTCTCGCTCCATTCCATCCTGGGGAGCATCAATCCGGTTCTTATTCCACCGGCAAGTCATAAAAATACATCATAATACACACCCACGCTCCTCCCCATTATGGCTGGAAGGCCCAAGAAGACGACATTGATTACTTGTTCCCTTTTTCTTTACTGTCTCTTTCTTTTTCGCAGTCTCACCGCGCCCCCCCTAATGCGCCAGAAGGCCTCTAATTCAGTGCATAAGGGTGCAAAGTTGTAAACTCCTCTGATTTGCAACAAATTTGCACAGTCCCCCTCGTTGAAGGAGGAGGCAGATACAGAGGAAAGCAGACGTGACTTTTTTACATTGCGACCATGCATGCAGGGCCAAGGGAGACAGAAAGGTCCAGCATTGATACTCCATATGCTGCAGGTGGTGAGCGGCCAGACAGCGAAGCTGGAGAAAGGGATTTGAATCCTCAAGCTTGCAAATGGGCGAGCATATTCTTAAGGTGGATGGCAAAACTTGGCATGGGCCAATGTCGCTTCTTTCAGAAGGCTGCACATAGCCAAAGAATGGTGTGCTTTTCGGCAAAGAAAAAAACATGTGAAAAAAAAAAAAAACTTGCCTCGACTCTTGAGTAGTATTCGTCACGATATAAGTATATGACTCCTTAATCATCAGTTAGAGGTCTACATGCTCTGCGCTACCCACCGAGTTCTGCTTTCAGTGCTCAAGGAAAGAAAATACCTGCACAGAGCTTGTTTTCCCTCTCTCATTTCATTTTGAGCTACTTCAGAGTTCGTTTCTCCTTCAAGCTCCAGAATCAACTTACATCTTCCTCTTTTCCACATAGCTACAGCCCATGAAGGAATCTGTAAAGGTGAATTGAGAAAAAAATAAAGTTGCAGCTGTTATAAACTTATAGCTCTCTGATGTTCAGTGGGACGCTGGACCCGTTTTCCAGCAGGTGCTGCTCCCCACCAATAGACCGGAGCACCTTAAAAAAAAAAAAAAACTTATAGCTATTGCCCATAGAGAGGAACGGCGGCGCAATGTAACCGCCAAACTAAACATATACTTCCACTAAAAACATGCTACTGGAAAAGCAACTCCCTAAAACGACAATATATAAAGCAAGCATTATGTCACTCACAGAACAGTGGAGGCAAAACGTGAATGTACTAATCACAAAGATAAACATAAACAAGGAGCTGAAGATCAGACAAGTAAAGCACTGTTGCTTTTCAGTTGTAAAAAAGAAGCAGAAAAAGACTTCAGAAGTTCAGAAGAGACAGCTGTGGGAATGCTATCATGCAGAGAAGACATGTGTAAACAAATGTGTGAAATTGACTTCTTCCGGGCAAAGCGCTGAGTAGTCCTTGGAGGAAGGCACTGGGTTGAAACCTCAAAGCGCTGAGTGCTTGGTGGGCGATTCCAGGGCAAAGCAAAATCAAGCCTCTCCACTCGAGCAATAACATCATTCAGACAATGAGGCACAAAATGACCCAAGCGTCAGGAAGTGAGAAATGAGGGGATAACATACATACACACGCAAAAAAAAAACAGAAAGATGTTGGTCAGAGGACAAACACGAAAAAAGCATTACCCTGTTTCAGACATCGATGCCCAAAATGACCCTATCTAAGATACAAAAAAAAAAAAGACGGGGCAGAAGAGAGGGGGGGGGGGGGGGGGGCCGAGGGTGCAGGGAGTGAAGGAGGGAGGGATAAGAGATTTGTTGCTCAAACAAAAGGCCTTCCATAAGGGTAGGTTCATTACATTGCTATAATGGATTCACAAAATCAAAACAATGGTGGACAAATCCGATAAATTTCTATGGATATGTCCACCAGCTCTCTGCCAGCTTTCGGCAGACAGAGAGGTATTGGTCTCCAAACTGATTAGCACGAACAGACATGCTCATGGCTGCAGAATATGTCTGCGAGATTTTTGTAAACGTTCGGCTGCAGAGGGCTGATGAAGATGTTTGTCTGCCACATCTAAGGCTTTGGCTTTGCCTCCTGAGGGCTGATGCAGCTGTTTGCAGCTTGCTTTGCTTCAAACCGTTTGCCTTGGCTGCTCAGCCCCTCCACTGGCCCCAGATATTGACAAAAAATAAATCATCACCCCGCAATTCTGCCAAAAATGGCACCTAACCCACTTACACTACACCCTAGCAATAAAAGCCTCCTCCACCCCAAATTTTCAGCCATGAGCTCTGCACTGGCATTATTGCAAAGACCTCAATCCTATGACGGTCTTCGAGCTTCGGTCCAATCAACATCAACTAATCCAAGACAAATTGGTACATTAGGTCAGGTGTAAGAACATACTCCACCAATGCGAGAAAATAATGAACCAGAACCAAGACCATGAGTAAGAGAAGCGCCCCGCTCACTGTTGCATCCGTAGATCTCCCTTCTCGTCATGTCCGCTAACAACCTGAACCCATGTTTCATCGAAATATATGGCACTGAAAATAACATAGGCCAAACTGTTTAGTGTCAAACCAAGCATCCACTGCAATAAGCCCCCTGAGCTGAGATTGCAATCATCAGTCCAGGAACTGCCACAATCCATTACCTCATGATTGAAAAATTATCACATTAACAAAAGACTGAAAATTTCTCACCTTAACAAACGACTCCTGAATTCCGCCTCTGCTAATGAATGCATCCAACCTGCCACGCCACCAGCCACATTCTACCCGGTCAGTCATTTTCAGAAATCTTACGATCAACATCTTTAGCAGACGGCAACTCTGTGCATGCAGGTCCAAACATAGGGCTGTTTTGTGCATTCCTTGCTAGTTGCTTCTGGTCGCTCAAGAGAAGCCTGCCCTCTCCCAAATTGGTCAGTGCCACTGGGAGCAAAACATCCGCCACAGAGGAGTCGTCGCTTCTCTGCTGCCGCCATGTTGGTTCCGGCCGTATCTCACGACCACTAGGACCTGGGGCGGGAAGGACAGGCTTCTCTCCAGGAAGCGAAAACGGCTCCCCAATATTGCTCAGTCCAAAGTCTGACACATCGTTCCGCTCTCCTCCTGACTGGGGCACTCTCTCCTGTCCAGACGAATTTCGCATTCCTTCTGTCTGCGATTCACTCCTACTGCCTTTCATCGCATATGGCATGGATCCAACTATCCCACGGTTTAATGAACCCTGATGGCCGATCTCACTTGGATGGGAGGATGTTTCTCGAGACAAACGTGGCTCAGAGAAACATTTTCCCGTTTGGTGTTGCGGCTCCGCATGATCTTCTCTGCCGTGTGCAAGTTGTGGCAACAGCATATTCGCTGAGCTCATGTTCGGCGCAACAGGAGCTGCGGGTGGGCTCAACACTGCAGGGCAGACCCTGTCCTGAGGTGACTGCTTCGTATGACCTTGAAGACGGTGATCACAAGAAAGAGCGTAAGGGACAGGAGCGGATGCGGGAGCATGACCCATAGGTGAAGATGGAGGGGGTGGGGGAGGTGGAGGATGTGGAGGTGGAGAGCAAATAATTGGGGTTCGCAATGAGGGAAGTGGGTGAAGAGAGGGTGGAGAAGAGGGCCCTGAACAGTTGCCTGATGCCTGAATAAACGATGCAGTCTCGGATGACTGCTGCCCTTTGGTATTGTGTAGCAATGTAGGGGGAACTTTTCCTGCCCCAGAATTCCTCACCAATTCCGCAGAAGGCTCTCCTGAACCCATACTGCTGGCTGTCTGATTTACAGCTGCTTCCGTAACTGTGTTATTATGCACAGCTGTAGAGGCGCTCGACTTTGTCTGTCCCTGAGCTCCTCCAAGTCCTGCCAAATGGTTGCCACTTTGATTCTTCACTTGTTCTTGCCCCACACCAGATGGCTGATGCAAGGATGATAGCAACTGGCTCTCTGTATTCACCAGTGCAGCAGCGGAAGGGCATGGCAATGGAGACGGCTGTACTTGTTGCGAGGATGGCTGGTGCAAGGATGGCGGCAATTTGCTATCTTTATTTGCCAGTGTGGCAGCTGATAAGGGGTTCACGTGCATGACCTGTGGCTGGGTTTGCAGAGGCCCCGGCGGTGACTTGACAGATGGTACCACATGAAGAGGGGGGCATGGCAATGAAGCTGGCTGTTGCAGCGAGGGCTGTGGCTGTGGGAAGGAGGGCGTGGGAAGATTAGGAGCTGGAGGTGGATGGTGAGGAGGTGGCCCCATTGGTTGTGCAACCTGTGACGGCTTCTGTTGTGCGACATGAGCCAGCTGTCGCATTGGAGTTGGTGGTGGTTGGGGAGGCATTGCATCTAATTGTTGTGGAGGAGAGGGATGTTGAGTTGACAATATGGACTGTTGAGGTAATTGTGGTGCCAAAGAGACTGGCAATGCAGTCAGCCCACCGGCAGAATGCTGATTCTGCAAGTGCACTGTCTGTTGCACAGGCTTGATTGGGATTCCTGGCTGGGATGGCTGTTGGGGTGCATGACCTGAGCCACTGCTCCCCCTGCTTGCACCACGTCCAGATGCTGAAACACTGCCCCTTGCCATTCCAGAGACGGGAGTGATTGCACTCGGCACACCTGTAAGTGAACCAGATCCACTTGCTGGATGCATCACTGTACCAGATGTTGCTCCCACAAGAACACCCTTTCCTGCGGTTGGCTGCTGTGACTTCACAATCCGCACGGCCTGGGAAGGACTTGCGGTCCTTGATCCTGCAGCAGCAGCAGCCACGGGAACGACTTGTACAGACTGATCAGCGGTGCTGCCTCGGCCAGCACCTTGCCGTCTGCCTGGAGCATTGCCAGCACTGGCAGTGGCTGAGGCAGCAGGACCCATGGTGGAGGCAGCAGGACCAATCGTGGAGCCAGCAGAAACATCATTGGCGGTGTATGAACTAGTGCTAACTCCAGCATTGACTTTTCCCACCCCCCGCCCAGCAGCAATTGCTGCAGCAGACCACATTTCACTTCCACCAACCGAAGCAGCCTGGGCAGCAGCAGCACTCATCACCATCACTCCTGGAGCAACCACTCTCCCACCAGCTGGGAGCCTCCCTGCTGAAGTAGACCCATTTCCCTTCCCACCACTCCCAGACCCTCGTCCTCTACCCCCTTCCTTCCCCGTTGCAGCTGTGGTCATCCCTGAAAGGGCCGGTTGCCCTTGCAAACAACTCGCAAGATTAGGTGTGCGGTTTCTCACATCGCTTGCATCAGTGATTGCTGGCTTCCCAGCAGGTGAAACTATAGAACCTCCCATACCCATCTGGTATGGCATTCCAACACCGACTCCAACAGCCATGCTGGGCATGGACACACCTGTAGACAGTGGCTGCGCAGGTTGAGAGGGCTGTGAAGAGCTGTAGTGTCCTCCACCTCTGCCCTGGGTACCCAGAACTGCACCTCCTGGCGCATGCATTGGTGTGTTCTGCCATCCCCAAGAACTGCTCGCAGACACCCCAACTACCATCGGCGTCCTGACTCCAGCTGCAGCACTGGGAGGGGCAGGAGCAACCATCCCTTGCGCAGTCCCATCAGTTGGGGTTCCTATGGCATGTCCAGCATGGGCAGCACTCGCACTGAGATTCGACGCGGCACCTGACATTGCGGACAAGGTCCCACATGCTGGAAGTGTTTGCGACTGGACCGTTTGCTCGGCAGCATTGGTCATAGACATGGCTCCTCCTGAAGGCATTTCCAATTTCCCTGCTAACACTGGCAGATCACTACTCCGTGTTGCCTCTGCAAGGGAGGTACGTGAACACAAAGTTGATGCTGGTATTGATGCCCCTGTCTGAGACACCAGAGCAGATGTGGATGAAAGTGCACATGCCATCATAGTACATCTGCCAGGGGTGCGATCTTGAGGGCCGCTATCCACTTGAATACCATTACCACGCCCATGCCCTGTAGTAGCACAGACACTTTCTGATTTCAAGGACGCCAATGCAGCGTCTGTAGCGGGTGTTGTCGTAATTGGTGGCGTTGGATTTGGAATCACTGCACTTGAGGCTACTCGCCGAGCTTTTGCTGCAGCCAACAGGTCTTTCCGCTTCCGAATTAATGCCCAGCGTTGTGACAGTTGTGCTGCTGTCCTCTCCAATGTAAATGCACCCTGCACAGAGGTCAGGAGCATCAAATCACCAAAACCATACTTGCAATGCACTACACACTGTGCCAAAAAGCAGTGCAACTGTCGCATACACATCCAAACATGACAAGTATGGCGCAGATCCAAGGAGTCGACTAAAAGCAAGAGACTATATAAACGCAGCGGAAGACTGAACATACATCTGACACAGCAATATCAGAATGGACAATGCACACTCGTACATGCATCACACGGTGAGAAGGGGGCAGTGCAGCATACAAGGGGCACTGTCCCCTGATCATCCTCGAACGAAGTAGGAGGGAGAGGGAGACGGAGGGGGAAGAAAGGCAAATTCGCAGTCCCGGGATGCACGTTGCGCATACTAATAATTATTAGAGTCTCCATAAGGGGAGAGACTGAGTCGCCAATGTCGCCAATCTCGAATGTCCCCGAAGTCCCAGTCTCAATATAAATGTCCAAAACCAGGTCTTTGCCCAAAATACCAGAGCAGGGCAATGGCCTGTCCCCAAGTTCAGATAAGCAAATTCGCAGTCCCGGGATGCACGTTGCGCATACTAATAATTATTAGAGTCTCCATCAGGGGAGAGACTCAGTCGCCAATGTCGCCAATCTCGAATGTCCCCGAAGTCCCAGTCTCAATATAAATGTCCAAAACCAGGTCTTTGCCCGAAATACCAGAGCAGGGCAATGGCCTGTCCCCAAGTTCACATCTCAGATAACTCTCTCTCTCTCTCTCTCTCTCTCTCTCTCTCTCTCTCTCTCTCTCTCTCTCTCTCTCTCTCTCTC